TTTTAACCCCCCCCCCCCCCTTCCCCCCCAAAAAAATACGGAAGTGATTTTAAGGAGAATGCAAATAAAGCATTAATATCATTAAGAATATTTTGTCACTGTATGGCTAAAAATTAATGAATTGTCAAGAAGTCTCCTGTTATTGCCTAACTCTCCTGTTACGAAATTATCCACAATTACATGAATCATTGTTCAAGAGAACTCTAATGAATTTTCAAGAAGTTTTTCAATTTGATCCCTCTAAATAGTCTTCGGACACAATGAATACTAATACAAGATGAATTTAATTAAAAATATGTTTAGAAGTTCCCCAAATTTCTGTGTTAATTTGTTTAGTAATGTAAAAAGATGGGGGATTTAATTTATTTATTTAAGAGGACAAAAGAATGGGAAAAAGCAACGGAACAGGAAACGTGTGAACGCCCCTTCGGTAGAGAAGGGAAAAAACCACCGGAAAATATTCCAAAACCCTAAAGCCTTTCTGCACCAAAATCCTATGGCTCCCGACTAACATACTCCATCGTCAAAGAAACAGAAAGTGAGAGCCCCCGGAGCTGAAAAAACAAATAGAAAAAAAAAAGAAGAGAGTCGCCGGAGTTGAAGAAACCCTAGACGACCGAATCGGTCAGTTGCCAGACTCACTCCTCATTCAAATTCTCTCTTCTGCCAACTAAGGATGCCTTCACTACATGTGTTCTCTCGAAAAGGTGGCAGTATCTATGGACTTCAGTTGATCACTTCATTTTCAGGTGTGAAAAGGAATCGCAAGCAGAAAACTTCATTTCCTTTGTGGATTATGCATTAGCTCATTCTACTTGTTCCAAAATAAAAAAATTCCAACTGAATTTCACTTACCTGTCTCAATACGAGTCCCCATGGCTTCCTAAGGCTGTTAAAAGAAAGTTCCCAATCAGCCGATGGCTTAGTACCGCAGTTGAAAAACATGTCGAAGATGTTGTATTGTGGTCAGATTGCAGTGAGAAAGATAACATCGACTTGCCTCAGTCTATCTGCATTTGTTCCTCATTGATAACATTGTATCTGAGCTGCTGTTTTTTTGATGAAAAATTTGTCATAGAGTGGAAGTCTCTAAAGAGCCTAAAGTTGAAATATATTACGTTAGATGATGCTGATATTGTGAACATACTGTCAGGTTCTCCTGCTTTGGAAACTCTGGAATTTTCTAATGTCGAGGGTTTCCGTCGACTGGAAATTAATTCTTCAAACTTAAAGAGACTCAAGTTCAAAGAATATTGGTTGCCAAATGATGGCGAATGATCATTCTCTGGAAATTGTTGCTCCGTATATTCAGCATTTGGAGATCTCCAAAAATCTGGATGATCTCAAGTGTCGGCTAGTAAATGTAGCCTCCGTGGTCAGTGCTAGGCTTACTTTCCGAATTACTTGTTCAGAATATTCTAGTGACAGTTGTCCTGATGATCATCAAGTTATTAAGACACTAGTCCAAGAATATTTTCAAAAGTTGAGTTGCGCAACGGAGTTAACAATCGGAACTTGGTTCATGGAGGTTTGTATTTAAGTCAAAAGAACTTTATTTCCTTTATTTGATTATAGATATCATAAAGAGAATAGCATTTAGAATATAATACAATTTAGAACTTTTACACATTTTCTGATAGTAGAGACTTCCCCTAGGGCAGTGACGCACGGTTGGAAAGTCAGTGGATAATGGGTCCACCGCTCTACCCTTCTCCGGTTAAATACCAAGCTTTTGCCCAAGAACTTTTACACATTATTATACAAAGGCTACTGGTTTAAGTACAAAACTCTTGTGACTTTTTGCAATTGCAATCTTTCTGTTCACTTTCTAAAGTGGTGTATTTCTTTTATTATTCAGCTAATGTGTTATATTTGTCATACCATTATGTGTTCACTTTGTTTCTCTATCCTTTACTAGTTTCATTGGGATTACTGCATCAGGTCATGTTGACGTTTGAAGGGGGGCTGCTGCTTCCAGAATTGAAATGCAAATGTCTAACTTTAGATTTGCATATCACAAAGTTTTATTCCTATGGAGCAGCTATCCTGTTGCAAGCCTCGCCTCATGTGGAGACACTTAACATAACTATGGCAACTATTGATGTAACTTCCTGCAACTTTTTGCTCATCTTTTTTTTCACATTCATTATATGAAGTTTTAACGTCCCCCTTCCCCACGCTGAATGGTTTTCTTAAGGAGATGTAAATATATCCTTAATCATCAGTAAGAAACGTTTTTCACTAGAAAATATCATTTTAATATGACTAGTTTTGTGGTTAATGGGCTCTGATGGGAAAAAGATTGCTGGCAAACACAACTTCTTTCATTCTTAGCTTGGTTCACCTATTCCAAGAGTCATCCTAGAGGAACAGTTGTCATAATCATTTGCCCAGAACCATTAAAGATTGGTCGGTTCGGAAATTGTTCTGTACCAGACACTTCTACTGTGAAATCATTGTATTGTGACTTTCGTGCAATAAGATTTTCATTTGACTTTAACACATGTATTTGATCTTGACTATATTCTTTCTCTAGTTGGATTTTTCCCGATGCAAAGTTGAGTTAGGATATTTGGCAAAAGGAGGCGATATTCATTTGCTGTCGAGCTTTGGGTTTCCCAATCTCAAGAATGTTAAGGTTGTCAGTTCTTCAGGGACGTGTTTGCAGGGGCATCTTGTATGGGATTATGATGAACTTTTCAAACTTTCAGAATTTATACTACAGAATGCAATGGGTCTGGAAAAGTTCGTTCTCATATCAAGAAGAAGAATGTGCAAGAGATGCTCAATGAACTGTGCGTCTCAATATTTATTTCGATTGGCTGAGAAATTGGTAGGTTGCCCAAGGTCCTCTGCAAATTCTATGATTATTTGCCAGGAAGGAGCTTTCCATGACTAGATGAAAAGTAGTTTTCAGTTGCAGTATACCAGAAATGTTACCTTATATTTAGTTTTGATTTACTGCTGGTAATTTCTTGAACTTTTCTATGTAACTGATAACTATTTGTTCCTGTTATCTTGCCCTTATGACATGCCAAATGTTATCGTTGCTTGGTTTCTGATGAAGCTTTTTTTGTTGCATTCAAGATGTTATGTATGTGTTTCAGAATTTCTAGGCAGGCACAAGTTTTTCTGCAGGCAGCTTTCATGGAGTATGCTTTATGCCCTCGTCTCCATTCTCTAAAGCCGAAAAGCATATTGCACAGTTAAGTGAACTTTAGTCAGAATACCCCCATAATCTTCTTCTTCTGAAACAAATCTAAACCTCTTCTTGTTTAATATTTCCTTGTTGTAATTTGTTATATATCTATATGAGCTCCTGGCAACAATAGTAGCCACTAGCCAGTATCGTGAACCTTAATTTTTGAACAAGTCATTAATAAAACAAACGGAATGTAATCCGTCGAAAATAGAGAAACATCTAACCAGCAGAGATGCTTTTTTCATTTGAGGTACTAATAAGCAGAAGAGATGTCATATATTATACTCACAGTCATTGTTCAAAGTCAGTATTTTAACCTCTTTGAAGTCGGTCCGCCATGGAATTGATGATAAGGGTTTTGGTACTCGCAAGTATCTCGAATGAATATATGAGGATCTTGTTAGAAAGTTTTATGCAATATTAAAGGTATCAGAGGATGGAGTTTTTGAAATTTCGATTCAGGTTAGAAGATTGGTCATTGATGAGGAAAAGTTTGATGAAGTCATTGCAACCAAGCTTGTTAGGGATTCTGTGTTCTTCAAAAATGTTTGGCCAAAAGATTGCAGAGTTTAGTTTGATATATAGGTTAGAACTCAACTTAGTGAGGTTGTCAAGAAACTGGAAAATAGAATGAATGCACATGTAACGTCGTTTGAACAGAGTGTTGCTGCTTGAAAATTATTTTGGTGTGTGAGAAGGATCTGTGATTACAAAGTTAAATTTTGATGGAAAAGTTGCTGGGAAAATTAGATCCAATTGAAAGCAAGTGCGGAATTGGTCTGGCCAACTTGTAGAGAGCTCCCTCTGAAGAAGAGCATGTTAAAGGGCAGCCCGGTGCACAAGGCATCTCGTGTTTATGTAGGATTCGGGAAGGGCCACACCTCATGGGATGTGATGTAGACGATTTACTCTAAATTCTAATGCAAACATTAATGGTTGCTTCCACTACTCGAACTCGTGACCTATAGATCCCATGGAGACAACTTTACTATTGCAACAAGAGAGGAGTCTGTTATGTGAAGGATTTCATGTGTTCGAAAAAGAATCTCGGGTCCTCTAGAATGAAAACATTTTAAGCAAATTAATTCCCCAATGTTTATACAGCGCGATGGTGCAGGTGCATTTGATGTATCATCTCGGTTTCCATAGGAAAAAAGGGCTCAAAATTCTTTACAAATTGAATACAAGAAAGTGAACCGGTAAAAATCTCTTACAGTATGTTTTATTTTTAAATATAAAAATAAAGAAATTTAACATAAAATTCAAAAAGAATTTATCACGGGTCACAAATCTAATTGACATCTTTTGTACTAAAGACATATTTTGATGTTGTTCATTAGTACTTAATAGGAAAAAATGCCATGAATAAAAGGATTGTTTAACTTGTGAAAAGCTATACTGAAATTACAATATGGAGAATTTAATATGGCGATTAAATATTATTTAGGTTATATCTTTTAGTGATATGTTTAGTACATTGGACTAAGAATAATAGCCTGTTTGGCCAAGTTTATTTTTGGCCAAAAGTGTTTATTTTTGGCCAAAAACACTTTTGGCCTCAATTTGAGGTGTTTGGCCAAGCTTCTGGAAGGAAAAAAGTGCTTTTAAGGAGAAGCAGAAGCAATTTTGGAGAAACAGAAAAAAGTAGCTTCTTTCCAAAAGCACTTTTGAGAAAAATACACTTAGAAGCAGTTTTTTAAAGCTTGGTCAAACACTAATTGTTGTTCAGAAGTGTTTTTCAAACTAATTAGTCAAACACAAACTACTTCTCACCAAAAGTACTTTTGAGAAAAGCACTTCTCAAAATAAGCTGATTTTTGCAGCTTGGCCAAACGGGCTATAAGATAGACGAAATATAAATATAAAACAAGATTTAAAATAGATAACTTTGAATAAACTTTTACATTCAATTTCGACATTACCTTTTTAAAAGACTTTGTAAGAAAACTTCAGAGACGGATAAATGTATTTATTATATTGTTATTTTATTTCGAGAATAGTAATCTCATATATAATTTATATGATATAATTCGATATCATATATAGTCAATCCTCTTTATAGCATGTTAATTTGTTTCGGTACTTTTTAACTGCTATAATGAAGTGTTATTATAAAGGACATACATTATAATATAACATGAAAATTGGCTCGCAAGGATTAGCTGAGTTGGTGATGATTTCCCTCACCACCAACCTCCTTCGTCAGAGTTGCGACAGGGTTACCCGGTGCATATCGAAAGTTTTCCGTTGGAATTTTTCAAAAGAGATTATTACATATAGAGATATGTTAAATTCGGAGAAAGAACTGAGAAGGGCCCAATAGAAAACGCCACCCCCTCTAAAAGACAAATTTAAAAGGAAAAGAAACCAAAAGAAATAAAGATGATGAGAGCAACTTTTTAGGAAATTGCCCAAAACACTCTCCTCTTGAAATCATGGCTACACGCCGTTCCAGCAGAAATGGAGTTTTTAGTAGTACCAGCAGCAGTAGTAGTAGTCATTTGACAGATTCAGTGATGAAGAAACCCTAGATCGTCTCAGTCAGTTGCCGGACGCAATCCTTGTACAAATTCTCTCTCTTTTGCCCACCAAAGATGCCGTGCCATCATGTCTTCTCTCAAAAAGGTGGCGTTATCTCTGGCATTCAAAATATAACTTCCTTTTCGAAAATTTTTATTACAAGGAACCAGAAAACTTCAAATCCTTTGTGGAGAACGTTTTGACTCATTCCACTTGTTCCAAAATCAAAAAATTCAAACTCGATTTAGATTACATCTATATAACGAACTTTGAATCGGAAATCAACCGATGGATTAGCTTTGCTGTGGAAAGAAAAGTGGAAGATCTTGTATTGTGTACCCTTGAGGAAGGACTCACTTACCAATTGCCTCTATTTATCTATACTAGTTCGTCACTGATTACATTGGAGTTGTGCTATTGTGTGTTTGATAAAGGACTACTCATAGCTTGGAACTCACTAAAGAGCCCAAAGCTGGATGTAATAAGGTTAGACGATGACGATATGGTGAAATTACTGTCAAGTTGTCCTGCGCTGGAAACCTTGGAGTTGTCATGCTTCCAGGGTTTTCGTCGTCTTGAAATTACGTCTCCAAATTTAAAGAGACTAGTATTAGATGGTGGCGGAGGATTCGATTCTTTGGAAATTGTTGCTCCACATCTTCAACATTTAGAGATTTCAGGAGTTCGTGGATATCTCAAGCGTAGGCTAGTAAATGTTTCCTCTTTGGTTACTGCCAGCCTCACTTTTAGCATTATCTGTATCACTGTGGATGACGAGAGTTATATTGGGGAAGAGGAAAAGGAAGATGATGTTGAGGAAGACAATTGTCCTGATTATCATCAAGCTTTCAGAAACCTTGTTGTGGACTATCTTGAAAAGTTGAGTCATGTGACTCAGCTCAAAATTGGAAGTTGGTTAGCAGATGTTTGTTTTTATGTCAAACGACCTTATTTGACATTTTATTTTTACAAGAGAATTGCAGGATGTAAATTATGAGAAGAGCCTTCAGAATGAATATAATTATTCCGTGAAAAAAGAATTTTTGGTTAACTAACTGAAAGAATTTTTTATAATGCATACAGAATGATTTCGTCTTTGCCTTTTTGTGAGTTGTGACCTTTCATGATCTTCCTATCTACTTTCTGAATTTTGATATTTCTTTATTGACAATAGATTATTTTAGGAACTAACCTTTTCTACATCGTTGTTCCTTAAGTGGTTAGATTTGTTATGGCATTGTCTTTTCGCTGTGGATCACTTTCCTTTGTTGTTGATTCATTCTGTATGCTCTACTATCTTCATTTGGATTATTTCTCCAGGTCGTTTTCATGTTGCAACTCGAAGGAGTTCCACTTCCAGAATTGAGATGCAAATGTCTAACGCTAGAGATGCCTATAACAAAGAATACTTTGTATGGAGTAGTTAGCCTATTG